AATAGAGGAAGATATAAAAAAGTGGAAGCACATACCCTGTTCATGGATTGGAAGAATTAACATCATTGAAATGTCCATATTACCCAAAGCAATCTATAGATTCAATGCAATCCCCATCAAAATACCAACAACATATTTCACAGAACTAGAATAAATACTTCAAAAGTTCATTTGGAACCAAAAAAGACTTCGAATAGCCACAGCAATTTTGAAAAAGAAGAAGAAAGTAGAAGGGATCACATTACCAGATTTCTGGTTCTACTACAAAGCCACTAATCAAAACAGCCTGGTACTGTCATAAGACCAGGCATATAGACCAGTGGAACAGAACAGAGAACCCAGAAATGGACCCAGGATATTATGATCAATTAATATTTGACAAAAGAGGCAAGAGCATACAATGGAGTAAAGATAGCCTCTCTTATAAATGGTGTTAGGAAAATTGGACAGCTACATGCAAAAAAAAAAAAAAAAATGAAACTAGACCATCAACTTACACCATACACGAAAATAAACTCAAAATGGATAAAAGACTTAAATGTGACCCGTGAATCCATAAAAATCCTAGAATAAAATGTAGGCAACAAAATTTTGGCCATTATACGCAGTGGAATTTTCTCTGATACATCACCTAAGGCAAAAGAAACAAAGGATAAATGAACACATGGGACTACCTCAAACTCTAAAGCTTCTGCACAACAAAAGAAATGACCATCAAAATGGAAAGGCAACCTACTGTATGGGAGAGCATCATTGCCAATGATATGTCAGATAAGAGATTAATTTCCAAAATATATAGAGTACTCATAAAACTCAACAAAAGGAAGACAAAGAACCCAATTAAAAAATGGGCAGAGGAGCTGAGTAGACACCTCTTCAAACAGGACATACAAATGGCCAAGAGACATTTGAAGAAATGCTCAACATCATTAAGAGTCAGAAAGATGTAAATTAAAACAACAATGAGGTATCACTTTACAGCTCTCAGAATGGCCGCCATCAACAAATCATTAAACAAGTGTTGGCGAGGGTGTGGAGAAAAGGGGACTCTAGTACACTGCTGGTTGAAATGCAGACTGGTGTAGCCACTATGGAAAGCAATATGGTATAACCTCAAAAAATTAAAAATTGAACTTCTTTTTGTCCTAATGTTCCCACTTCTAAGAATGTACCCTAAGAAACCTGAAACTCCAATTAGAAAGACTTTGTTTACCCCCATGTTCATAGCAGCACTATTTACAATAGCTAAGATCTGGAAACAGCCAACTGTCCATCAGTAGACAAATGGATGACAAAGTTGTGGTACACATACACAATGGAGTACTATGCAGCTGTAGGAAAGAAAGATCTCTTATTCTTTGAGACGACATGGATGTACCTGGAAAATACTATCCTAAGTGATACATGCCATGCAGAAAAAGACAAATACCGCATGATCTCACTTATATGTGGAATGTAATGAACATAACAGTCTGAGGAATAGGGTAGACCCAGAGATGTGGACGTAGGGTACAGACTGACAACCCTCAGAAAAGAGGGTCGTGGGAGGAAGGAAGAGATAAACCACAGAACTTATATGCATGTACGCATAACCAATGGACAGGGACTTCAAAACTGGGAACGGGGTGGGGGACTGGGGAGGAGGGTGTCGATGGGGTAAAAAAGGAGAAACATCTGTAACAACAATAAAATTTTAAAAACTCAAATAAAGCTGAAAAAAAAACAAAAACAAACAAAGTCTAACCAAAGCCTAAACAATAAAAAAGTGTACCAACAGATAGTCAAGGAACCTGTGTCAGGATACCCTGCATATTAGATACCTATGAAAATCTCAGTTAACCTTTTTAAAAAACCTCAGCTTCTTCTACTGAAATAGGAATAATGATTCTCTACCTCACATGAGTCTAACACTATCTATCTGCTCAGCCTGGTAGTTCAGAAGACAGACTGTTCTGTTCAGGGAAGGATCAAGGAACAGTAAGCAACATTACTAAGGTGAGGTGGTATTTTCCTCCCATTTGAGTTTTTGTAGATGGAGAAATGTACAATGCCCTTTTCTGAACATTCTACACTACAGCGTTGCAGTCTTGGAATCTAGAGGAGACACCCTCCGTTGTGCTTTGCCATGGGCAGGGATGGAGATGTATGTGATGAAAGTCATTGATTAAGACAAACCACAGATGATTCTGGTTTCTCTAACCCTCTCCTCTACCCCAAAGCATCCTTATGGTCACACTCTGAGGTTAGCATTCTCTTTGGGCTATTGAGGTCCTATGGGAGCCAACTCCTCACATTAAGGGACCACAGGATGAGACCTGCTGTTCTGGACCCATCTTCAAATCCTACCCTGTGGAAACTCTGCTAGCAGAGGCCTGGTAGAGGAACCAGGACCTTCTGAGGCCAATGGTTGGTTACCAGACAGGAGGGAGGGTTGGGTCACTAGGAGGGTTTCATGGGTCATAACCAGCCTAGACAACCTGGAGCAAGTCTAAGGCTGAGGCTAGAGTGGCAGGTCTGAGCCTGGAGTAAAAATAGGCTTGCATATATTTTTCTAAATAATGTCTGATCCACTTTATGGTATCTTTCTTTCACTGTTCATGAAATACAAACTAAAAATACAACTAACACCCAAAGTTCGAAATGCAGACTCCTCATAGTTTGCCGTCTCTATAGCGTCTACTCACTTCCCTGGCCATGATTGTGCATGTTAGGACTTACAAAGCAATATAATTCTTAATGGTCATTTTGTAAGCTTCTCACCACAGGAGAACAAAGACCAAGAGGACTTGTCAGACAGAAAATGCCAGACACCAGGAATCAAACCATATTGATTAAAGAAGTAAACTGCCATTTTAGAAAAAGCAAGTTCCCGGGAGATAACTAGACCCTTTTGCCTCCTAGAATTAACCAGACCTTTTGCTTTCAGTTTTTGCATCTAAAGAATGTCTGCCCAGCCCACTGTAAAGCTAGGCAAGCCCTGCAGCTTGGGGCCCCGAATTTGGAGACTGCCTCCTCTGGGTCCGCATGCGTAAATAAAGGAACCTCTTCGTTTCCTCTGGTGTTCTGTCTGAGTCTTTTCCATAACAATATAAGAAACTTAAACTGCCAAAGAAGCATCTGCATTTCTGTAGACCTAAGCCCACTGCCCAAACCCTCCAGCCAAGCCCCCAAAACAAACTGAGGACAAATGCTTCCCACCAGTGGCTGCATATAAGGATGAAACTCCAGCTCCTAGATGCTGCCATCATCTACATCATCCATCCAATACCCCATGGCTAATTATTTGTAGTCCTTCCCTTTGGATATCCCCATCCCCTTTTCTTTAAGTAAATCTAATTTTTCTTTATTCACCTTCTGGGATTGCTATTTAGCATGCCTGAGCACTAGACTTTAACCTTCCAGTACCTGTCCTCATTGTAGCAGCCACCCTAGTTTCCTTTCCATTCTAACTGTGGAGGGCCAGCAACTCCAGGACAAGACCATTTTGGGGTTGGGCTGGGTTCTTTGAGGCTGGGCCTCCTGCTTGGTTTACTGGTTAAGACTTAAAGCAGATACCAGATGTATTAAGTGGGCATTGTGAACCTCAAAACATAGACCGGAAGGCCTTTAGGACCGAGGGGAGCCATCTCTTCTAGGAGCCTGGCAGCAAATCTCGGTCCTCCGAGTCCCCAATGGCGCTCCCCTCCCCCAGCCTTTGTTGCCCTCGCTTTCCCAGACACCAGCTATGGGCCTGGGGCAAAGTTGGCGGCCGCAGTCAGGCAGGGAAGATCCCGCCTCCTCTCCCTCCTCGTTGTCATTCTCCCCCTGGAGCCCGTGCCTGCTGTTTCCTGCACGGGTGTCTCCAGGCTTAGCTGCGCCCCTTGCCCAACCCGCCCGCCGGGTGCGCGTTGCGGTAGGCTTCCTGCACCCCTTCCTTTTGCGAGGGCCGGGCTCCGTCCTTCGCCCCATCGCGCGACTCGGGAGTTCCTAGCCTCGCTGGCCGCAGCCGCTGCCCCTAGTCCTGAGCTCTAGTACTGCTCTGGCAGCAGGGGTCACCGGCCGCGAAAGCAGGGCTGGGAGCTGCGGGGGTGGGGCTAGGGTGAGGAGAGGTGCAGAAGAGGGAGAGGGAGGAGAGGAGAGCTAGGGACCAGAGGATCAAAGGCGGGCGCCGCACCACGCCGCTTCCCGCACGATTGCTCTCTGGGAAAACTTGCCGGAGGGCGCCTGGGAGTGTTAGCCAGCTCACCAGGTACTAAAGGTAAGTCCAGCGCCCCGACTGCGCGGGCGGCGGAGGGACTGGTGGCAGAGGGGCGGAGACCATGGGTGGGCGGGAGGCAAGCCGGCCAGGCAAAGGAGGGAGTCCTGGCTCCGCCTCAGAGCGCCCAGACCAGGTGGCTAGGCGCCTGCGGTAAGTGCGGGTGATCGCAGCCGCGGGACCTGTGTAGCGCAGGGTCGCGAGCCAGGAGGAGAGAGCAGAGCAGGCCAGCAAGATGCGGAGGAAGGGGCCGTGTGCTGTCGGCTCCGGCTGCAGTTTGGCGTCTCGCCACCCCACGCGCCTAGCAATGTGGAGGGGCTGCTCTGCAAAGTCTGTGGGAGCTAGTGAGCAGGAGACCTAAGAGCGCAACAGAACGTTGTGCCCAGGTTGTGAAGGAGCGCGGCGAGCATAGGCTCTGCGTGTTCCAGTGAATTCCTGGAGCGACCCAGAGAAGACTGGCTGGGTATGGTGAGTAGGAAGCCGCGGAGCTGGGGACCAAGGTCTATCTGACACCGGAAAGGAAACTGGGCTTCCATTTGCAGAGAGGATGGGGAAAGGAAGGCGAGGGTTCGAGCGCTCTTTGGTCGGGATCTCCCAACATGCGACCCGAACGGGGACTCACAGAGCCCCAAGCCCCGAGGCCGGAGCCCCGAGTCCCGAGCCCCTTTTCTGGAAGAGCAGGATGGGCATCTGTGAGCTGCCTGCTCCCTGGCAACCGCAAGAGCCCAAAACCCTAGTAACTGCCAGCCCAGGAGCGGAGAGGAAGGCGAGTGGCTGTTTCTGTTTGTTTGTTCCAGTTCTAGTCTCGATTTCCCTAGGTAAGATTTTCCTGCCTCTTCGTGTGCGCCCTTCAAGCAGTAGAGAGAAGAATGAGTTAGGCAATTTCTTTAGAGAAGGGGCTTTGCTCTCTGTGCTTCTTGAAGATTCCTGTAGAGTGGGCGATTGCAGCTCTGCCATGGGGAGGCTGCAGTGTAGTCGTTAGGCTTTTCTGAAGGACAGAAGAAGGGGTCCTCTGGTGGCATTCTATTTCCTTCGGGGTCAGTTCCTCGCAGAGGCTTGGACTCCTGGCACCCAGATTTCAGGTATACAAAGCCCATTTGCGACATCAGATGCTCTGGTGCCACCGTGCCACTGGCCCTCATTCTATGCCTTGCTTTCCTGACTATGTTCCGGTGTTTATTGCAGCTTGGCCGATATGGGGCAGGTGGTGCGTGACTCCGTTTTTTAATTGGAATCAGGCTCAGGCAGTGGTATCTGCACCTGTGTTTGTGTATCTGTCCCCCCTCCCTCTTACTGGCCCGCGTGTTTGGTCAGAGCCCAAAAGGAGGGAATGCTGCGCAGACCTACGTAGGGTTAGCAGCTTGGTAACAAACTGGGAGGAGCAAGCCAACTTTCCTTGCTGAGGTGCCTTTGCCTGGGCAAAGTCGCATTGGTGCAGAAATGAGGTCTTCCAAGAGGGGACTGACTCCGAAATTCTCACAGGAGCCAAAGTGAAAATGAGCCGCCAGGGAGGCGGGGGAAGGGGTTGGGGGCGGGTGGAGGGTGGTAGTCTGAAGTACTTTCTGACTAGGACAGGAAGTAGCTCTAGCTGAATTTTCTAATGAATCATTGCATGCTGTGTGCTTTGCAGTTTTGTGGAAATGACTTTCTGGAGATCAGACCACAGGTTCTGGGCGTGTGGGGTGTGTGAGGAAGAGCCCTTCCTCCCTCTTTCTACACTCTCTGCCACCTTTGCAAGGAGCAAATGTTGACTTGTAGCTGATATGGTGCCCTTTCCCACCAGTCTCTCTGCACCGCCCCCCCCCCCCAATACACACACACACACAAACACACGCACACTGCATGAAAATGAAGTAGTCATAATCAACAGGGCCTTTGTAAATAAAGAAAAAAATTGGAAAATCTAATTTCAAGTTTTTTTGAAAATGTCAATGGTACACAAAGGTAGAGGGAATAATAGAAGACTGAGCTTTCAGTATACCCCTCACCCCACACCAAACTCATTAACCTTTTGCCCTTCCCCCCTTGTTTACTACCCCTCCTTAGAGTTCTGGAGGCCATGTTTGATGGATTTAAAAACCATGGCAAACATGTCACTGCCAAATGTATCATTATGTATCTCCAGCTGATGACTTCATTTTCATCTAACAGAAATTACTGCATGACTGCTCTAAATTATTTCATTAGAATGTCAACAGAAGAAACATTCAAACCTGTGAAGAAATTTTGTGAGTTTATTTGAGCCAAAACTGTCAACGATTGCTGGGGAGCAAAACATAGTGCTCCAGAGAATGGCAGTTTTGCACATTATTTTATACATTACAATCAAACGAGGAGACATAGTGAGTTATATGAAATCTGTTGGTGCTAGATTAGAGAGGTGGGAGAAAGCAAGGCAGGGAAACATCTGGGGTTGGATAAAAGGTAAAATGATAGACACATACATCTTTTACATAGTGGGTACAGGATAGTTAACAGTCAACAATTAATTCAGTGACAATGAAGGGATTTCTGGTTTTCGCAGAGCGGTGCCTGTGCTTTGAGGGGTCTGGAAAAAGGAAAATTACTTTGATGTTTCAAAGATATGTTATCATAGATGTAAAAAGACAATAGACAGTCTCAGTTAAGATAAAGATTGACTTTTGTCAGAGAAGATGCTGACCGAGCACATGACTACCTGCCACAAACTGTTTTTAGTTGAAAAGTTTTTAATTTTAGACCATCTTTTGTGTACTTTAGGTCTTTGAGTTTGCAAGGCCGCCACACAGGCCTTTCCTGAGCTTGTCAGGTTAGCATTTGGCCCATTTTCATCCACAAGAACATAGGTGATGTTAAAATAAAAAAAATGAAGTCATGCCCCCATTTCTATTTTGGAATAGAAAAAGGAAATCTGCTAACATTCCTTGAGGCATAATGGGGGGCAGAGGGGGGGGAGCAGGACTGGAGGATGGGGAGATCCAGATCCTGAGAAAAAGAGACATTTTACGTATACCATTTGATGTGCAGTATATACAAAATAATCTAGTTGAACCATGATAAACAAAATAACTTTTTTTATAAACACTTTAAAAATTATTTCACAGATAAGCAATTAATTTTTTCCACATTAACCTAACATAATAGTGCTACATTGAACTCTTTTTCTTATCAAATCTAACTCATTTGTTTTTCTGGGAGTTATTAGTATTATAAGAGAATAAAAAGATATTTTCTTATGTACATTTTCTATCAAAGACACTTGTCAGTACTATTCTGAGATTTATGAAGAGTACTAAATATTTCATCTCTCAATTAGAAAACACTTGCTTATCACATTGGTCACATCATTCTCTGGAGAGACACTCTACTCACTCAAATTTCATTTCAAATGTGGTTTCTGTTGACTGGAAAATAGCATGGGGAAGGCCTCCAGATACAGTGAGAGAGTGACTTCTACACTCACCCACCTACATGGCCCCCTTTTACCCTGCACACCTCTACACCTTCATTTATATAAAAGCTGTTTCTAAAAATTGTCAATGACATTCTTGGAGGATGCAGCCAGACTTCTGAACACCTTTATAAGGTGTACTATTTAAAGGCACCCTTAGCTAACTTTTTATAATATGAATAACTATTCTGTAAGAGTACAATTTTATGTCTTTCTCCTATAAATAAAGACTTGTTTTTTCATGACATCAGCATGACCCTGAAACCCTCACTTTTCCTTTGCAGGGTCCCTGTGCACATTGGAAATTCTTAATGTCTACCACAAACTGATTGTGACCTGTAGTTTGTACAGACTTCAATTTGCCAGCAAAATTCTTTGAATGAGTGGGTGAAGGTGTCAAGAATTGAAGGATGGGGTGTTTATTTGTCAGCAGCAGCAGCAAAGCAGTGGAACTGAGTAGCAAAACTGTCTGCCCTTTCAGTAGAAAGTCACAAGGCCATTTTGTGGAAGTACAATGATACGAGGTGATATTAGAGTATAGCTTTAAACCTAGCATCATTACATTGCAGATATTGGGGTCCACGTGTCAGAAAAGCAAAACAATAAAGATATTCAAATATTAATATTCAAAACATTAAAAATAGACTGCCCAAGTTTCTGCCCATGTCACCAGAATTGCAATGTAGCGGTGGTGTTAACAAATGTTATTGTTCAACATTCTCTGTACAAGATACTTAGACATTTCAAATTATTCCTGAGAGTTCATAAACGTGTTTTAAAGAAGAGTTGCAGTAACTCTTTCAGGCATCGGGCTACAATTCAGTCCCCTCACTGTCCCTGAGGGCAGTATACTAGATTTCAGATGGGAGTGGAGGAGGGAGAAGTGGGGAAGACACATTTGTGATTTTCTCAAGTCCATGATTGCCTCTGCTCCCTATGATATTTTCTCACTGTGTCTGTGAAAAGAAAGGTTTCAAACTTTCAGCTCTGCTGCTTGCTTGCTGAACAATCTTAGATCACATAACTTTTCTGAGATTGTTTCTTTTCATCTATATTCTTTCCAGGGTTTTTAAAACAAAATATCTGTGGTTGTCACAGTTTTTTATATGGGGAAGACTGGATTGAGAACAGCTTCTAGTCTGTTAAACGTAATGTTTCCTTTATATCTCCATGGATCTCTGAGAATGAGAAATGATCTCAGGCCCTTCACTGTACCTAGTTGGCAAGAGTCAGAATATGGACAATGTGTGTGCATCTCTCTCATAGGAATGTGCCTGAGTGGTGTAGATATTCATGCCTGCTGGGGGTTAAAGGGAATGTATAGGACAGGCTTATGAGCAATAGTTTTAACACAACTAAACTTTTAATTTTTTACTTTTTTCCTTTATTGATTTTAGAGAGAGAGGAAGTAAGAGGGAGAGAGAGATAGAAACATTGATGAGAGAGAACATCTATTGACCGCTTCCTGTATGCCCCGCACTGGGGATCAGGCCCACAACCTGGGCATGTATCCTGACCTGGAATATAACTGGCGATCTCTTGGTGCATGGGTTGACGCTCAAACACTGAGCCACACTGGCCTCATGATACAACTAAACGTAACACAACTAAATTTAGACTCATATCACATTATAAAAATTACATGATGCATGTTCTCTAAGATACACTATTTTATTTATTTTTTTAAATTAATTAATTTTTATTACAGATGTTTCTTCTTTTTCCCTGATTGACACCCTCCTTCCATTCTTGCCTGGCCTCCCCTGCCCTAGCATTGTTGTCTATGTCCATTGGTTATGCTTATTTGCATAAGTTCTTTGGATACCCCTGCTCCTAACCGAGGTTTGTCAGTCTGTTTCCTACTTCCATGTCTCTGAGTCTATTTTGTTCATCTGTTTGTTTTGTTCATTATATTCCACAAATAAGTGAGATTATGTGATATTTGTCTTTCTCTGATTGGCTTGTTTCACTTAGGATAATACTCTCCAGGTCCCTTCCTGATGTCTCAAAGGTTAAGAGATCTTTCTTTCTTATAACTGCACAGTATTGCATTGTGTATATGTACCACAGCTTTTTTATCCACTTATTTATTGATGGATACTTGGGCTGTTTCCAGATCTTAGCTATTGTAAATAGTGCTACTATGAACATAGGGGTGCATGCATTCTTTCTGATTGGTGTTTCAGGCTTCTTAGGGTATATTCCTAGAAGTGGGATCACTGGTAAAATGGCAGTTCAATTTTTAACTTTTTGAGGTAACACGATAGTGTTTTTCACAGTGGCTGCACCAGTCTGCATTCCCACCAGCAGTGTACTAGTATCCCCTTTTCTCCACACCCTTGCAAGCACTTATTGTTTGATGATTTGTTGATGGTGGCCATTCTGACA